GCTTAACTCTGGTTGAATCCTTAGCACCACCACCACCAACAACAACAAAAAATGGAGAGGAGGAGTGGGGATTGGAGGGACCTAGTCTACACCTCCTGATAGGCAGCTTCCAGAACAGACTTCTATTCCTCACAGCCCAGGGCGACGAAGCCCAGACCAAGGTATGGCAGGCTTGGCTCATCGGAGGACGTTCTCCTTGGATTACGGATGCTGTCTCCTACCCCAGTGTCATCTGGCCATCCTTTGTGTGTGCGCCCCTCTGCGTGTGTCTGGATCATGACCTCCAGTCACCCTGGATTAGGCCTGTCATCACACAGACTCCACTTTACATTACTGATCTCTTCCAAGGCCCACAGTCCCCAAGTAGTTACGTGCTGAGGCCGTAAGGGCTAGGGCTTCGACATACTGATCTGGGGGATGGAGTTCAGCCTCTTGGGGTACGATATCCATTCCCAATTCTATGAGGCAGGAGCTGGGGTAAGGTGGGGCTGAAGTCTGTCCCAGAGCCCCTCTTAAAGCTGCAGAAGGAATGTTTGGGCTGTCTGCTGGACAAAGGGCTCGGCTGGCAGTGTTTCTGGGTCAGTCCACTGTAGACAGTAAGCTGGCACTGGCTGTTGGCCGGAGGCCTTCGGTTCCTCCCCACGGCTGATTGCTCTGCCTCAAGGTGGCAACTGTCAGCTGTTGTGCCAGCTCCTGGGGGAGATCTGTGAGGGCAGGAGGGGTACTACAATGAGCTCTGTGACCTGGCCTTCTAAGTGACCTAGTCAACTCTGGACAGTGAGGAAGAGCGGTTCACAGGGAGGAGACCACAGAGGGCTGGTTCTGGAGCAGCAGCAAAAGCTGCCTTGCTGTGGCCCAGGCTGTCTTCTGCCAGCATCACTGGACCAGTGAACCTAGTTCCAGTGTCCTGTGAGGGCCTGTGTATTTCTTCCTCACTTTACAGACAAGGAGACTGAGACCCGGAGATGCTGAGACTTTACCCATGGCTAGAACTGGTGTGTGGGAGTCAGCTTGGGTCAGGGACATTGCTTCTAGCTCCTCTGTTCAGCCATCAGCTCTTTTATTTTTCCTTTTTTTTTTTTTAATTTCAAGACAGGGTTTCTCTGTGTAGTCCTGGCTGTCTTGGAATTCACTCTGCATACCAGGCTGGCCTTGAACTCAGAGACCCGCCTGCCTCTGCCTCCCTGGTGCTGGGATTAAAGGCGTGTGCCACCAACACCTGGCAACCATATGTCATCTCCGCCTTGACTATGGCCTGAGAAGAAAGGCATCATTCATTCATTCCTGAACTCCTGGGGTAAAGGAGCAATTGTGGTGGGGATGCAAGAGACCAGGTCTTTTATCAAGAAGTATTGCTATCTCAAGAGGTTGAAAATCTGTCACCGAGGATCAGAGGAATGGGCCAGTAATAAACATTGAGCTACAGTGCATGTGATGTGCAGTCCAGATGTGAGAGATGCCCACTGGAGCATGTTGTACACATCTCGGGTGTGGGGGTGTGGGGTGTGAAGGGCGCACACATCGCATAGCAAACACAAGTGGTGGATTCATCCTACATTTTGGAGTCAAGCCTGGCTAGCAAAAATCTCTCTCCTTGTCAGGAAAATGGAGGCTAAGCTGTTGTCTTTGGAGTGCTTTTTAAGGATTCAAGTGGCCTGTTTCCTCACTCAAATCACAGAAGAGAAAAGCTCAAAGTGAGAAAAACACTTGTTTCAAGTTAGGGTGGCATCCATTCTTGGACAGAGCAGACAGCAAGAGGGTCACTGGGGCCGACGTAGCTGTAATGATGGCACCAAAGCAACCACAGACAAAAATGAGCTCGCCTGAGCCGGGTGTTGGTGGCGCATGCCTTGAATCCCAGCACTCGGGAGGCAGAGGCAGGCGGATCTCTGTGAGTTCGAGACCAGCCTGGTCTACAAGAGCTAGTTCCAGGACAGCCTCCAAAGCCACAGAGAAACGCTGTCTGGAAAAAACAACAAAACGAAAGAGCTGGCCCAGTGTCCTGGGCCCCATACCTGGAATCGTACTATAACTTTAGACTTTCTCTAGTCTCTGTGGGCCCTCAGTCCCAGCAGGTGGCGCCAGGCCACTGTCCAGTACTTGCCCACAGAGAAGCCGAGCGAGCAGATGGCACAGTGGAGGCTGCCGTAGACTCCAGATAGATCTACAGCAGGACAAGCCTGCAGCAAACAGACAGGTGGGACTCCACCCTATCCTCGGGAATGACCCTGCTGTGGTCTGCCTTCAGGTCCTGAGAGGGTCCTGGAATCAGTGGTTGTACCCAACACTTCCAAGAAGTACCAGAAAGCAACAGAGTAGGGGTAGCAGGACGTCCTGAGTTCTTTCACTATGTGTACAGTGGCCTGAGGTTAGAAGGCTCTGAGCCAAAAGGAGGCCGAGGACAGTCGGCATCAGCTACCGGCTCTAGCTCAGAGGGAGAGTGAGCCTCGAAGTCAGTGAGGAATGTATGGCAGAAGCATCTTCTCAGAGGTGGAGAGCATTCAGTGGGGTCTTGCAGGAGGAACGGGCTGAGCATGTGGAAGGCCAGCAGATGGACAGGAAAAGAGTAAAGGAACAAAGCTTGCCCCGGAGTGAGTCACGGGACCAAGGAGGCAGTTTAAGGAGAAGAGGGTGAGGCAAACAGAAAATCATCACCCCATGGTGACAGAGACTGAGACCAGGGGAGAGGAGAACATGAACGCTTGCTTGTCTTTGTTTTGAGAAAGTCTCACCTAGTCCTGGGGCTCCAGCTCACTCTGTAGCAGAGGCTGATACTGACATCCTGATCGCCTGTCTCCAAATGAGATCTCAGATGAGGACCACCCTACCCAGCTCCAGAAGGTGGATTGTAATCATTACTTCTGTGTGTGCGCTGATGGTGTGTGCGTGTGTGTATGTGCACACGCAAACACGTGTGGGGGCCACAGGTCAACATCAGGTGTCTTTTCTATGGCTCTCCATCTTTTTTTTTTTTTAAGATACAGTCTGTATTTTGAGACAGGGTCTGTCTAGGTAGTCCTGGCTGTCCTACACCCTGGCCTTAAACTCACAGAGATCTTCCTGTCTCTGACTCCTTAGTGTTGGGATTAAAGGCATGAGCCACCATACCCTATAAGACACAAGCTTTATAAAATACTTTAAAAAATTGTTTTATAGCTGGGCAGTGGTGGCGCATGCCTTTAATCCCAGCACTCGGGAGGCAGAGGCAGGTGGATCTCTGTGAGTTTGAGACCAACCTGGTCTAAAAGAGCTAGTTCCAGGATAGCCTCCAAAGTCAGAGAAACCCTGTCTTGAAAAAAAAAGTTGGTTTTTTTTTGTGTGTGTGTGTGTGTGTGTGTGTGTGTGCATGTATGTGTACCACATGGGTGCCTGGTGCCTATGGAGACCAGAGGAGAATGCAGGATTTCCTGAAATTGGAGCTACAGAATATGAGCAACCGTGTGGGTGCTGGGAACTGATCCCAGGTCCTCTGTAAAAGCAGCAAGTGGTCTTAACTGAGCCATTTATCCAGCCCCAAAAGACAAAAACAGAAAGAGAAAATTGTGTGTGTGTGTGTGTGTGTGTGTGAAATACGAAAGTCAAGGGCATTGATCCTCTCCATCATTATGTGGGTACCAAGGATGGAATTCTGATAGTCAGTTTAGTGGCAAGTGTCTTTCCCACTAAGCCGTCATCTCACTGGCCCAGGATGCTTGTTTGACATGTTCTCTCTATGTAGCCCTGGCTCGCATAGAACTTAGAGATCTGCCTGCCTCTGCCTCCTGAGTGCACACGGCACATTTACTTATTTTGTTTACATCTATTTACATATTTGTGGGTGGTAGAGGCAGGATGTGCACACTCACTCTTGGTCCCGAGTAGGCTGGGGCACTCCCCCTGTGCAGTGCAAATGTGTCTGGCGGCCAGCCCCAAACCGATTCTTAGCCAGTATTCCCCTTCCTACAAAGGACCTGCGCTGCGCCCCAAAACTGCCTGGCTTAGGTTCGCTTTCCTTCCCTAGGGATCCTGCATCTGGTAAGCAGGATGGTCAATATGGGACAAGCCTGACGGCCTGGCCCATCCTTCCCTTCACACCCTAACACCACATCAACTTTTAGCTCAAACTCTTGACACCTACTTGCAGGAACCAGGCAAGGTCATTTGGTGATACCACCAGCCTCACTGTTTTTCTGGCGCTTCCAGGACCCCACTGCTCCACAGCGGGTACCCCTAAGACCCGCGATCGCCTGCTTCATTTGCAACCGGCTCTGCTCTCTGGGTGCCTAGCAGCGCCCGTTGGCACACAGGGGAACTAAGCTCCGCAGCATCACAGCACGGGAGACAACTAGCTCAGACACGAGCGAGGGAGCCCTGCCCACTGTTGCGCATGCGCACCAACACGGAGTCAACCCGCCGGGGCTTCCTTAGGTCCCCATCTGCGCCTGCGCAGGACGGTCATCCCTCCGGCCGCGGCCGCGAGCCATGACGTCATGGACGAATTACGGCGCGCGCACGCGGGCGCGCTCCCTAAGCCTGCGTAGAGTTCCCGAACGCTCCGCGCGGGCCCGAGGCGGACGCTGTGAGGCTCCGCGGTGTCGGCGCAGGCGGAGGGGGGGGCGTGAGGACCGCGCTACGGTGGCCGCCGAGGGACGACACTACGGCTCCCACGCTGGGACAAACGCCTCCGGCCCGGCCCGGGCGCGCCCTCCCCTCCGGGCCGGCGCCAGCCGGGGGCAATTGAAGGGCCGCTCGAAGCGACCCCATCTTCGGCGGCATGACCCCGCCCCGGCGTCGCAACCCCGGGGCACAGGCTCGCCCGCGAGCCCGGTCCCTAGCGCCGTCGGCCTGCCGCATGGTTCCGGACACCGGCACCGCCGCGGAAAGGGCACCGGGTGAGCGGCCGAGGACGGGCGGGGACCGGCAGTGGACCCAAGGGCCGTCTCCACGGCAACGGCGCCCCGACACCGGAAGTGGTGCCTGCAGAGGACGCGGGCAGAGGGCCGGGGTCGCGCGTAGCCTATGGGCTTCTGAGGGCCGCGTCCCCGGAGCCGGGCCCTCGAGAACGGAGCCCCATGCTCTGGGGTCCCCTGCACGGAGACTCGTACCTTGGTGCCCGGCCACCCCGGGGCGGGCTGCGGGGCGCTGGAGTGCACGCACCTCCATTCGAGTACACCTGCTGCAGAATGCAAAACCCTACTACGCGGTGTCCAGTGACACACCCGAATGAGGGCCATTGCCCTGTCTAGCTGGGTAAAGCATAGCTAAAATTCCCGGGCTCGGGGCACGTTTCTTCCCACTGAGCCTAGGCCACAGCTGCACTGGCACCATTTGCTCAGGACCTGCGGCGGTGAAGGAAACTGGTCTGGAGTCGAACACGCAAAAGCCTGTTGGCGATGTTTCCCTGTCCTGTTACCAACTTCTTGTCTCTAATGCCGTATAGTCTGAACTTTTATATTTTTTTCATCCACAAATTAACATAGCCAGCTGCAAATAGCATTTGATTGGTGAAACAAGGAACCTAACATTTCCCCTCTCTTTGTGGCCCAGTTTGGAGTACTCTGGCCCTGTACCCAGCCTAGACAAGCCAGCAATGCTTCTGTGTACAGGCAGCCCCCGGGAAAGAGGTCTCGTTGCCACCATTTACAGAGCAAGAGCAGTGGGATGTGAGGTAACCTGCCAGAATAATGCCAGAGTTTAGGTCCAGCAGGTGACATTAGGGTCTGGCAATGTGGACACCCTGTCTTCATTCCGGTCCTGTTGGGGTTCTGCATGGGATGTCCTTGAAGGAGCTTGTTAATAGATAAGTCACCGTGGAAGTACTAGGGAGTAATGGGCCAGTGGAGTGCATCCAGTAGAAGAGTGCATGGGGTCTTCAAGAAGCTATAAGGAGTGGGCATAAATAGTTCTTCTCTGTCAGGCCGGGTGGTGGTGGCGCACGCCTTTAATCCCAGCACTCGGGAGGCAGAGGCAGGCGGATCTCTGTGAGTTCGAGGCCAGGCTGGACCGACAGCCTCCAAAGCCACAGAGAAACCCTGTCTCGTAAAACCAAAAAAAAAAAAAAATAGTCCTCTGTCCCCATTCTATCACTGATGGCCCTTACAGGGGGCCCTCCCTTGGCAGCCGCTAAGAGAGGTGCATAATGACTGTCTCTCGCCTTCCCTAGCACTGGGAGACAGAATGGTACGTTTGCTTTGCACAGGTGTGGGTTTGTGAAAAGATTAAGGGGACAGTCTTAGGGTACAACCGATTTCCAGAGACGCCCTTGCCGAATGAAGTCTGACCTGGTACTCTCCTTGTACCTCCCTCCCTGCAGGCCGACCGACACCTCCCCCAAGGCTCAGCTGAGGGCTCCTAGAAGCTGATGACACCTATGGTAGCCATCTGGACGCAGCGCTACCACTGCAAAACAGCACTGCCGGCCGGGCCCAATGCCGGTCATGCCCATCCCGCGGCGGGTGCGCTCCTTCCACGGCCCGCACACCACCTGCCTGCATGCAGCCTGTGGGCCAGTGAGAACCTCGCACCTGGCTCGCACCAAGTACAACAACTTCGACGTGTACGTCAAGACCCGCTGGCTCTACGGCTTTATCCGCTTCCTGCTCTACTTCAGCTGCAGCCTCTTCACGGCCGCCCTTTGGGGCGCTCTGGCCGCCCTCTTCTGCCTGCAGTACCTGGGTGTGCGCGTGCTGCTGCGCTTCCAGCTGAAGCTGTCGGTGCTGCTGCTGCTGCTGGGGCGCAGGCGCGTGGACTTCCGCCTCATGAACGAGCTGCTCATCTACGGCATCCACGTGACCATGCTGCTAGTTGGGGGTCTGGGCTGGTGCTTCATGGTCTTTGTGGACATGTGAGGACCCAACCTCCACGGGGCTCTTGATTGTGTGGTATCGAGTCTCTTTCCGTGAAGGGTGGGACTGGTAGGGGCCTCTTTTTGCCCCATCCCAAAGGTAAGGCCTGAAGCACACACTCCCACTGAGGAGAGAAAAGGGCTGAGACTACTCTGTGATGGGGACACCAGTCTCCCTGTTGGCTTCTGCGCTGTCCTTTCTGTGCGCTTTCCCAGATGTGACATGCCTCTCAGCCTCTTGCCTCTGGCTGCCTGTACATTTTCAGGCTGTCCAGTGGGTGGCCCGTCTGTCCTTTCTGCACCTTGAGACCTGTGTGACATTCTCACCAACATCAGGCCCAGCCAGTGGGACACACAAGGGGTGCCTCTGGGCTGCACAGCCCCTTTGTGTGCCCTGTTTCTGGCTCTAGCCTCAGGGACCCGATCTGGCTATACAGGCAGACATGCTACTGCCACTACCTGCGCCCCCTTCTGAGCAGCTTGAATCCTATGCCCATGGACCACTCTGTTGTCACCAAGTGGCTTTGTCTATCTTGAACCCCAAGTCAGGTCTCAGGGTCACCTTGGTTTGTATTGGTACAGTCTAGCAGGACACCATATGTGGCATTGGTTGGTCCCTGATACAAGGCTTGGACTCCAGAGTAGGGGCTGGTCCACACTCTGGGCAGGTCTGTGTGTCAGGCCATGCTGGAGCTCCACAAACTTGAGGAACCCAGGAAGCCACTTCCACATAGCACTGGGAGGAGCTTTATCTCTGAGGGATGGAAACCTCCAGCAGCCTCCCAAAGTCTTGGCGAAACCTGTAGAAAACAGGAGCAGAGTGTACCTCCTCAGTGGTATTTACCAGCCCCAGTGGGCATCCTGGATGGGCTAACTGCATCTTCCCACGTGGCTGTTAGTCTTGGTTTGAGATAAAAATGAAGGGAGTACCTGACCACCTTTGGCCTCTGTCAGGAGTGGGTTGTGGCTTTCACTGGTGACAAGGACCTGGGTGGCAAATGAAGTGCTTTGAGTAGTAATTCCCAGGGCAGGACACTGAGCAGATCCTGCCAACACATGCTTCACCCCAAATTGTCACCTCACACCCTGGGCATGGGGATGGCCCCTTTGACCCTACCTTGCCAGAAAGAAACCAGCTGTGTTCCGTTGAAGATAAACTTAAAGAAACCCAAACAGGGAAAGCAAAGATGCAGGACCCTTGACCTAGCTCTTTAACTTGTAGCCAACTGTGCCCATTGATCTAGAGGGAGGGCTCATGGAGGAAGTCTGCCTGCCTTCCGGGACAGCAGGTGAGATGCCTTCCCAGTGGATCCCGCCGCTTGCTTGCTGCAGAGAATTGTTTGCACTAAATACTACTCTCCCCCCAGAGCAGCTTTGTTCTTCATTAATTAGCTCATGTTCCTCAGAGCGGTCTGAAGCCCCATTGGCTGGGTGACAGTGGGTGTGTCAGAGGGCTGGTGGTGGGAGAGAATGACAGGACCTTGTCACCCATTGCACACCCAGCTGCCCAGTGTTCTGAGTGCCTGTTAAATTCTTTATGAGATGAATCACCTGCATTAAACCTATTTTTTTAATGTGTCCATGGAGTGATTGCTTTAAGCTTTGCTGTGCTGGGGCCTTACACATGCTGGGCAAGTGCTCTGAGATGGTGCTGTGTTTCTGTCAAGACAGAAGTCTTCCTTTTCAAATGATGTAGTCTAGGATGCCATAGAAGCCATTTCCTGCAGGATTGAGTCTTGAAAGTGTCGGATTTTAATGTCAAATGTAGACTCCTCAAAACAGTGATTCTACAGTGTCAGGTGGTGTGCTAAGAGCCTTGAGTTGAGTTGGTCAATAAAAGTGAGGGCTGGGAGGTGGTGGCGCACGCCTTTAATCCCAGTGTTCAGAGGCAGAGACAGATGGAGCTCTGTGAATTCGAACATAGCCTAGTCACACAGCAAGCTATAGAACAGACTCTGATAAAACAAATGAGGGTTGCATTTCTGGTGCTTTCCAAAAAAGGACAGGAAAGCCTGTGGGCACCATATACACGTATAAATCAAGTTTTTTTTATCTTTGTGGGATATGTTACTGGGTTGTTTTTGTTTTAATTTCGTATGTATATTGTATAGCCTGCATGTAGGTCTGTGTACCACTTGCATGCCTGGTACTCATGGAGGCCAGAAGAAATATTGAGGTCCATGGGACTAGGGTTAGACAGTTGTGAGTCACCATATAAATTCTGGAGATCAAAATGGGGTCCTCTGTAAGAGCAGCCAGTGCTCTTAACTGCTGAACAAACCTCTCTAGCTGTTACCTGGGATTTTGAGAAAGGGAGTAGCATCTCACTAACTTGTACAGGCTGGCCCCAAACTACCAAATGCTTTGATTATCGGCATGAGTCACCATATCCAGCTTGAGGCTTGTTGGATTTATGTGTGTGTGTGTTTTAAAGATATGGTTTATTTTTGTTTTATGTCTATAAGTGTTTTTCCTGCATGCATGTTTGTGTGCCATGTATGACCTGGTGTCTGCAGAGGCCAGAAGAGGGCAAGAGGGAACTGGTTGATTTTAAGGCACTGTGTGGTGCACTCTTAACTAATGGGCCATTTCTCCAGTCTTGAGTCTTGTTTGGGGGATTTGTTTTGTTTTTGAGATAGGGTCCCAGCCAGGCAATGGTGGCATCCACCTTTAATCCCAGCACTTTGGAGGTAGAGGCAGCCCAATGTCTGTGAATTCAAGGCTAGTCTGAACTCAGAGTATACAGAGTGAGTTCTAGGAGAGCCAGGGCTGTTACACAGAGAATCCCTGTCTCAAAAAACCAAAAGGGTTTGTGTGGGGGGTCTCACTATTTTATGTGCCTGAATTACCAGGTTGGCCATGAATTCATAGAGATCTAACTGCTTCTGCCTCCTGAGTACTAGGATTAAAGGAGTGGAACAGTGAACCTCCACTCAATTTTTACAGTTGTTTGTTTGGCTCTGTGTGTGTGTGTGTGTGTGTGTGTGTGTGTGTGTGTGTGTGTATGGTTTTTCAAGTCTTGGCTATCCTCAATTTGAAGGCCAGGCTGACCTTGAACTCAGATCCACCTGCCTCTACCTCCCAAATGCTAGGATTAAGGGCGTGTGCCACCCCCCCAACCCCCCACCCCCCCAACCCCGGCAAGTTTTAGTTCTTTTTTTTTTTTTTTTTTTTTTTTTTTTTGGTTTCTCGAGACAGGGTTTCTCTGTGGCTTTGGAGGCTGTCCTGGAACTCACTTGGTAGTCCAGGCTGGTCTCGAACTCACAGAGATCTGCCTGCCTCTACCTCCCGAGTGCTGGGATTAAAGGCGTGAGCCACCAACACCCGGCTAAGTTTTAGTTCTTAATTGCAAATCCTTTGTCTCAGACAGCTCAGGGCCTGAGTAGTCGGAGGTTAGCTTCATAGACCAGGGCTAGGACTTAGTTTGGATGGGATTCCTGGTCCAAGTAAAGCCATGCTGAGGAATAGTCCTGGGATGGCTACCCAGGCACACTTTCATGCCCAGGTACACACTTAAGAATCCAAAGCTGGGCTTGCTAGCAGACAGTCATAGTGAGATACCTATGTAATGACTGTAGCCCTCTAAGTCACTCATCAAACCAGAGGGGACAACATCTATTTTCCAGGAACCTCCCTGGGCCTGCTTTGTTTTCTGTGAATCTGGAGTGGGTGGTTGGTTGGTTTTACAGTGTTGGGGATAGAACCTAGAGTTGAACATGTAAAAGGCAAGTGGCTTCCACTTAGTCTCACCCAAAGCCCTGGAGTGTTCCCCCATTGTCCCTTGGCTGGGAAGAACAAGAAATCCAGTTGAAGATTCCCTGTGTGAATAGATTTCACCCTCACTCTCCAGTGGGGCCACTAGGCTGAGAGGCCACTGAGCACAGGGGACATGGCTGCTGAGAACAAGCTGCTCAAACCCAAGGAAGCTGAGGGCCAGTGGTTGGTACAGTAAGGGTATTGACCTGCTCCAGACTCTGGAAGCCATGACTTCCTAGCGTGCCACAAGGCCTTGGAAGAGCCTGGTTGAGCCAACCTCTCTTGAGAGCCAAGAGCCTTTCTGGGACTTAGGGGTTATAAAGTAATTCCTGACTTCCCTGATCAGCAGGACTAAGCCTGCAGGCCACATTACCTGGATATTAGTTCTGTTTTTGAGTGTGTTGACCTTGAGGCCCTAGGAGGCATTTTGAGCTGTATCTGGGGCTGCAGCCTATCTGAGAAGGCTGGTGATTGCTCTTAGTGACAGACATGTAAGCCAGGTCCTGGATAAGGTAGCATTTCAAAGATAGGGGGAGTGATGAAGAGGCCAGACCTGGACACAGGGATGCACCTGCCCACACAAGTCCTCAGTGGCCGTCTATGAAACAGGGTCAACACTGCTACAGCCACCCACTGGTTAGCTGCTGCCACCCGCACATGGGGTAGAAAAGGCAATGGGGACAGCTTTCAGGCTGGCCTTGTGAAGAGGAGTAGGAAGGGATGCCTGCTGCCCAGTGGAGAGAAAGGAGTGAATAGCAGGAATCCAGCCACCTGCTAGGACTCTTCCCAGCCTGGCTGGGGACCCAGTAACAGCACTTGGGCAGCAGTGTCAGTTGGCCAAACGTTAATCTGAGAGACAGGAGCTGGGTTCTGGGTCCTCCTGGGAGGGTGGGAATACACAATTGGCCCACACCAATAAGAAAGGGGCATTCTCCGGCGATGGTGGAGCACACCTTTAATCCCAGCACTCCGGAGGCAGAGACAGGGGGATCTCTGTGAGTTCAAGGTCATCCTGGTCTACAAGTGAGTTCCAGCTGTTACACTGTCTAGGAAAACAAAACGTAACGAAGGAAGAAAGGGAGGGAGGGAGGGAAGATGGAAGGAAGGAAAAGAAAGGGGCACCCAAGGCAGAGTGGACTGTGGTCATGAAGACCTGGAGGCTGGCCCCTGGGCAGGATGCTTGGGAGCCAGGGCCAAGGAAGGAGTGGAGGTGACTAGGCTGGAGCAGGAACACTCAGCCAGGTGTGAGGGGAACAGAAGGAAAGGCTGAAACCAATGTCTATCCATACCTCAGGTACAGGGGAGGGGCCACTGTGTGTTACCTACAATCCTGGGGAGGAATGAATATATGGTCTCCCTCAGTAACAAATAGGATCAGAGCCAAGGAGCCAGCAGAGGGCGAGTGACAAGAAGAAGGGTGCAGATGCCGGGGAATTTCTAGAAGAAGCCGGGTGTGCAGGGCCCCAGGCTTGGGATGGACTAGTGGCTCCCATTCGCTGCTCCTGTATCAAGTAGGAGCTTCTGCAGTCCCAGGTGGAGACCCAAACAAACACAGTACCTGTGACCTTCCCGGGGTGGTGAGGAAGGGAACCAGATGGTCCCTACTCAGTCAGCAAGGATGGCAGGAACAACCCAGAGCACAACTCTGTGCCACCACAGACTCCGCTGCACAGTTATTGATGTCCCCTGACCTTGGGAAGGCCCTGTCCCTGCCAGCGAGTGAGGGGGAGGGAGCCAGCGGCGCCTTCACATGCTGAGTCAGCGTTTTGTGGGGACTGAACCTGCTAGATCCACCACTGCAGCCAGGGTGCCTTTCTCTTCTCCGTTTTTGGTCTTGTTTGGAAAGAAGGGTCCCCATCTGCCCGGCCCTCCTAGGAAGCCTTCCCTCCCCTAGAGGCACTAGCTCCCAGGAAGCAACAGTCCCAGACAGAAGCAAAACAGGGGCGACTTCCCGGAAATCCCAGCATTCTGGCGAGCCTCCCCAACAGTTCCCAAAAGAGGGAACTGCCCCCCCAGCAGCAGCCTTGCCAGGCAGGGATGGTCCAGCGCAGCTGATTCAGCGATCCGGGGCTCAGTGCCCCTCCCCCGCCCTGCCAGGCAGCTTGCCCGGGCCTGTTGGCAGCTGTGTCACATGGGGCTTCAGGCAGAGTTGTGTGGCCCACACTGCGCCTGGGGGTGGGTAGCAGACTGAAGGGCACAGACTGCCAGGTGACCCCTCCCTGCCTGGCCAGCTCCCCCACCCCCCCACCCCTGCAGTGCGCTTCCAGTCTCCTGCCGAAGAGCAGCCATCGGAGGGTGCCATGGGCCTAGTTGGAGGCATGAGCTGTGATGCTGCTGAGCTGTGCTTTGGTACTGTGAGCTCTGGGAAATCTCACCCCATCCCAAAGAAACAGCCCCCACTCCCCCACCACACCCCCAAGACACAGCGAGCCTCTCAGAAGCCAAGGTCTTGTCCATCTCTGGTGGGGCCAGCTGTCACCATCTCCCAGGATGGGGAGGGCATCCCATCCTGAGATATGGACTAGCTAGCCCATGACAGAGGCTGGGGCCCCAGGGGCTCCCATACCAGGAGGAACAGAGCAAGGAATGAAGCAGGTACCCTCTTCTCTGGAGATCTAGCTTATAGCTGGTCTTACAGCAGCCTGGGGTTATATGCCGGAACCACTAACCAGGTCTAGGGGCAGGGCTGTGCCAGCTACTTGAGAAAATGTGACCTGTAAAGAAGCTTGGTGAGTTGATAGCAGCCCCTGGTATCCTGTTACTGGGGCTGTGGGTGAGCATTTCAGGAAGGGTGGGAAGGAGGCAGGGCTGTGGTCTGGAGC